GGAGATGCTTTTCGGAGTTTCTTTTTCGTCCTACATGCAAAGCTTTTTGGAATTTATTAAAAATAATATCCTGTCATGAAGGCGAATTCAATTTAATAAAACTATCGGGTGATATATGAATTCGGCGTTGGCGCCCTCGCCGTTGATATTACTAATTGTGCCAGAATAAAACTTCCAGAAAAGTGTTCCTTCACAAGACGCCCATACCTTAAAATCAGAAACCTTTTGGCCCTAGAAGCTGGGAAACTTGTTTCCTTTCCATCCCATTCACCTACTCTGCCTGCTGCATCGGGTAAAATGCTATAGTGATTCAAACTCACCAACTGCCCTCCCACCATCTCCAATAGAATATAGGAGCTCATACTTTCAGACCCTGTACCGAAACAATTTGTAGACCCAAGAAGCAAAGATTTGGCCAATCATTGGCCAATCACTGGCAATGGTTCTTTGGCCAGTGGCCAGCCATTGGCCGATGACTGGCCTCTCTCTGGCCTTTGGCCACTGGCCACTGGCCATCACCCATCGGCCAAGCATTGGCCGATGCATGGGCACTATATGGGCATTGGCCAAAAGACCATCGCAAGACATTGGCTAATGCTTGGCTTAAATTCGTGCTGCTACGTTTCTTACTTTTTTTTTTTTATGACATCGTGATCTCAAAACTCGGTGTTTATCCGATAAATCGGGATTAACGAAAATCTGACCGGCGGGTGTTTTTCGGAGTATTTCGGATTTATACGAAAACATAGAATCCTATTTTGTAACCCTCGCAATATTACTGTGCAGAAATTCACCACCAGGACAACGGACATCATTGATCCACAGGAAAACTTTCTTCAGAACGGAGGAAGTACCCTGAGGGCTTCCACCATCTGCCAAGAGATGGAGTTCGCGACAAAGCACCCCCTGCCACTTTTGCCCGGCAAGGTTTTGCATGAAACGTTCGGGGAGGTCACCGCTTACCTGAACGAAATCATCGAAGGAACCGGTCCACGAAATTTCGGTTTGAAAGGTTAAGTTGCTTAATTAAAGCGACACTAAAGTAAATTTTGAGATTTTGTTTTTACGGCAATAATTCAATCGACGCGCGCCCTGCGTCTCTGAAATTATAATTGTGATCACGCATCACATTTTATGCAATTAGAAATACGACCAGAAATTCATGACACACCCCTTTTTCTAGATATCTCAGAAAAAGGGGCGCGCCGCAATGCTTCATCGCATTTGATTAGGCTAAAGTATAGCGCACGATTGTAATGTTGGATTTTCTAAGGGTGCTTAGAGTGACTTGATTGGGGTTGCGCCATAAATAGACGATCTCAAAAAACACTTTAGTGCTCCTTTAATTTGAGTGACTAAAGTCGTTTATGTTGCTTAGGTTGCATTATGTGCTTAGGACGCAAAAGAAGCTTAGGTAGCATAGGCTGTTTAAGTTACTCAAAGGGAAACTCGGGTCGGAAACGAAACCACAATAAATGACTGGTATCGCTTTAGTTTCTCTAATTTTGCTCCCAGCCGAAGTATTACGTTAAAGTGAAGCCGCGTATTCCACTAAAATCACTTTTAGAGATGCACCCAGCTGCTCTTCAGTGGGTGGCGAGAGGGTTAGCTTTTCGTCAAGGAACACTGGGCGGCGCACCCACGTGACGTCACGTCGCTGTGAAGCTGCGGTTGATTCCGCACGTTGTACCGCGTACCGCAGCACCGCGGTGACGTCACGAAGCGGCCGTACGGCAGATGATCAGTGTTGCCATCTCTCTAGCAGATATATAGTTTCGGTTTTGCCGTAGACGTCCGAAACAAAATTTCGAGCCGCGATATTTAGGAAACTAAACAAAATACCGAGAAAAAAATAGACTTTCTTAATCAGGGAGACTGCAGGGGCTGAAAACAGTCGTAATCCCCAATTCGACAATTTGGACAGGAGTTGCCCTTTAAGCTGCTTAGCTTCCAAAGAATGCTGAAGTTTCTTAAGCTTCTTAAGTAGATTATGTTGCAAAAATTGCTTAAAATGCTATGGTGTGCTGTAAGTCTCGTGCAGACGGAATGATAAAATGCAATCCACATGCAAAGAATTTCGAAATCGGCGGTCTCTCGAATTTTCTCCAGAAGGGCGTCTAACAGCTGTTATTTCAACTGTCGGTACGTTTGAACCATGATTTCCTTCTATGTGTTTCGGAAAAGAAAAGGCTGTCCCAAAAGCGTGTTATGCGAAAATATAAAGCGTTATATTTAGTGAACCTACGAAATTTGATTGGTGTATAATTTTACAGCAATTCAGTATTCCTGCTAGTGCTATAGACTTAGCGGGGAAACGCTTCCCGTCAAATTTAGCTTCACTTTCGACGTTAAGGAGCTCTTAAATAAACGCCCAGCGCAGCTCGAGCCAAGCTGCACAATCTATCCCCCAACTTTATCCGTAGGAAATAGATACATTCTTTTCTTTTTTCTTTTAATACAAGCTGGATTGTATACTGTTTTCAGATATTTTAATTTTGTAATCTCCGTCTCAGGTGTTTTTTGCCAGGTTCAAAGAGTCCCGGGCTCGAGGTCGTGTCTCAAGAATCGGCTTTCTGAGAGCTTAGGCAACATATACAATTCGTTGAGCTAGCCGCTAGTGTCTGTGCGCTTCACACATTTGATAATTGTTGTAATTGCTGTACTTCATACGTAGCATCTGCTTTTAATAAACGGAGCAGGAATGGTGGTTTAGGGATCGCCAATTGACAGAGTAATTAAATGAGCTTCTGACTTGATGCATACACATGCTTATTGCCTAGTTTACTTGAAGTGAAGTTGTATAATTTCTAATCAAAGCTTCACGAGCTATAACTGAAGAAGCCATCTGTATTTTCATGAATAAAACGTTTATTAACACTTCTACAATTTGAGTTTTTATCATTTATTTCGGCATATAAATACGTTTCACTTTGAATTTTGCATCCTGGGCATTTCTATTCTATGTGATTTTAAGAACCGGTTGATAAATAAACGCGTTTCGTAGACGCTCATTAAACTTTCAAGCGTCCTCAATCAATTACAATGTAGTATGTTCCAAACTTACAGCGCTACGCAAATAGACGATCTGTCGGACGCACGACGTTCTTTTGCCGGAGGTCGCCAAAGCTGCTGCTGTTGTATAGTGAGATGACACTGACCTCACGAGCTTCCATTATGACCAAATTAGAGCCATGAATCAGCAAAGACGACCAAGTGTCTTGAAGCATGAGAGGAAAGCAGTTGCTCTAGAAAGAAAACATTTTTGTCAGAGTCTGTGACCCTTGTTGACGCACAGTGTAGTTCAGTGGAAAGCTTTGACAAATTCAAATGATCTACACGAAAAATTAGTATATGCCTATATTCTCTCACCGACCTTAAATGGACCCTAAACTAAAAATTATCATTATATTTAAAACCCGAGACTGTGGCGAGGGATACTTAGAAATAAAAAAAAAAAAACAGGAAAAGAATTCCTGGGTTTAAAACATCATGATTTACTATCACCAGCTGACCTACACGGACACCAACACCCTCTAGAAACGTATAAGGTCTTAGCTCTCTTCCCGTGAGTCACACGATAGGGCGGATTGGTAAAAGTGCGGAGCGCTGTTCAAGAGAGGTTGTCGCACCGATTTACCGCGCGGGCACTTTTTTTTTTCTTGCAAGAACGAGCATGCATGTGCTGTAAAAGAAATTTCACTGGTCTAAAATTACAGGAGCGAAACATTCATTTACACAATCCAGTTTCGTTTGTGTTTGCGCTTCATCAGGAGCAATACACCTATTTCTTCTGGAGAGTTGCGGCTTTCCGTTTTTTTTACTTGTCAGCAGCGTCGAGAAGCTTGTCGCTTAGCTTTCCACAGAAGTTCTTCAGTAAAACGTTCGTGCTGCACCGAAGGATGTCTTTCAGCACAGATTCACTCGTGTGGCCGTTCTCGCAGGCGTCGAAGTCAGATGGCTCTTCGTTGGTCAGCAAATGCAGCGTCAGCTTCGTGATGACCTGGCGCTGTTCGGGCATTAGTAGCAGTTCTGGTTGCGTAGCGAGCTGCTCTACGACAACGTAGTTGTGAGATTTGCGCATTAAGCGCAAACATCGATGGGTACACTAGACCTCCTCAGTCTAACTGCTTCACGAGATCATAGTGTTCATGGGCGGCAGACACTGTGATTGTCTTATCCACAGTCAACGCGTCCTTGCATTTTTCGCAATTTAACTTTTTGAGGGTCACGTACACGGCATATCCTGCAACGTAGAGCAGGATCGGAAGGATGTCCTGTATCTTCGAAAGCGTCTCGCTGCTTACAACTACGTTGCAGCTGGGATGCAATGCCTGTACCTGCTTTCGTACACATTCCCAATGCTGGTCAGTGGAAATAGTCGGCAAGGTGCTCTGCAGGCACAGCTTGTTTTCGACTTCATAAATCTGCCTGATAGAAACATGATACTGCGTACCTGCCAGTTGTCTATACTTTCCGAACCGGTCCTCTAGGCAGTCTGTTTGTATCTTACCAAAAATAACATAGGTCATTTTAAACTCTTCGAAGCTGTACCTAGCGAGCTCCACAAGCGCATAGATAGTGTGCTCGAGCGCAGCGTGAGTCTCCTTTGTCAGAGTACCTTTGTCAAGGCCTTTGTTTTTCCACTCATCCAGCCATTTCAAAAGCAACTGCAAGAAGTCAATTTTTGGATCGTTGTCCATGGAGAACACTGGTTGTTGGAACTGGTCTCTCAGCCTCTTTCTCTTCCGCGGAGTTTTCACATTCACAATTTTCCACCACTTGAGTATGATGTCGATGAAAGTAGCAGTGGCCTCAAATGAGAACAGGTTGTGCTTCGCTCCAAGAGCACGCAACGCCACAGGCAAGGAATCATTCAAGATTTGCAAGGCAAGCTTTACGTTCTGCCTTTCAATATTCGACGGATAAAGGACTTTTCTCGATAGCCCATAGCCATATTTCAACAGCTGGTCACATTCTTTGCTGTGAAGGTCCCTGATTGTCTAAAATGACACTGTTTGCATGCGCTCTGACTGTGCCGCATTTGTTTGCATCTCAGGGAAGTAGAAGCAAACTTGGTCATTCTTCTGGTTGATCCAGTTGTTTTGTATGCATTTTAGTATGTGTACCGGGTCTATAACAAAAAACAACGGCCTTGCAGGGTTTGATGGGTGTTGATACACAATTCTGTTAGAAGCGGGCGATTCGAAGTGGGACATTGCTTTTCTGTTCACAGAGTTGTTGTTACTCACGACGCACACAACGCAGTACCCATTTTTTTCCAGCCCGCAAATCACATCTTTCAGCATCTTGTGCGGGAACTCCGCGTCCAGTCTGTGCACTGGCACGATGTGCGCAACTTCTTTGAATTTGCACTTCAGGCTGCGCACCATGAAAACGAGCGCACAGTTTGCAGCTTCATTTAAGTTAAGCGCAGCTCCGGTAATATGGCCCCCTTTGTATTCAAAGTAAGGTTTGATGTGTATTTCGTCTACCATTACGGTGACGAAGCGCTGGTCATCTTTGAGGTCAGAAATTCTTTTCGCCATGTAACTGAGGAATGCTTCGCTCTGATGCTCTTGTTGAAAGCTCATGCCATAAGAAGAGCATACCGGTCTGATCGTCATGGGATGCGGCAAAGTGAGGCGTCCATGGCTGCGTATATAAGCGTACGCATGGGGCGATATGGTGAAAAGAATGCAACAGAACACCATGAAATCTGCAGAGTAGCGTCTGCGCTGTTTTTTCGCTTGGAACAAGCTTTCTTGCTCTCGCAGAAATCTAATGGAGCCGGCGCCGTCTTCTGCGTGGGACATGGACAACTGATCCAGCAGTAGGCAAATAGCCTCGCAAATTTCCTCGACTGAGTTGGAAATCAGGTCCCCGTCCCACTTCTCGATGCCTTCGAGGAGTTCCACTATACCCTTCTTACTGTCAGCAATTTCTGGAACGACCAGATTTTCATCTAACTTTTTTACCGCCGTTTTCATGACATGTAGCGTCACGCTCATGTCTCCTTTTACGCAGACAGAGTACTTCAGCCACGGGGCCTCATCGTCGACGATGTGGATAACAACAAGCCTTTCGTCCCTTTCTATTATGTTCCAAAACTTCATCTCCTTGCTCCGCAAGTTTCCGATTAGTTTTCCTAAAGAATGGACTTTGTACTCTTCATGTGCCCTGTTAAACATCTCCCCGGACTCCGCGATAGCTTTTTGCATTGCAGCATGCTCCATGGTCACCCGCTTCGAGTCGGGATCTTCTCTTCTTGTGGCTTCCCTAGACAGGTAGGTATGGCTAGTTTATCGAATCCCGTTAATCTGTGGTCGTGTATACATCGTCCAAACTGGCCGTCGTGTCAATGACCGGGAACACGTGAGCACGCACTGTCGCTGTAGTCAACCTCGGGAGGCCACCTTCCTTTACACTGCGTCACTTGCTTGTGTGTGCGGACATTTGAGAGCATCACGGTTTTGGGGAGGGGGGCTGACAAAACTGCACGCGAACTGCTGGAAACCGAAAAGGAGAAGTCCATTCCGTCAGCTTTTTTGAGCACGTGTTGATGCAGTGACGGCCTGGTGATTTCGTTGTTTTCCTTTGTGTTTTCTTTCCATTAAACATTTAGATGAAGTGCCAGCGCTAGTCCTGTCCATTCCTTTTCTGCATCCGTTTGTTTGCGCGCTTTTACCAGTTTGTTACCTGTTTTCATAGTAACCCATCTCCTATAAAATATCACCCGAGTTGTTTAAAGCGTTTAAACAAAAGAAATACATAAAAAATACGCAAAAATCGGGGGCGCATGGTAATCATTATATTTTGAATTATTTCATCACACAGCAAAAGTGGAATATATTTGATCAAACCCCACTAAAGCGTTTACATGTTATGACGTTTCATAGAGTTATATATACCCTTTCTGTTCGCGCGGATGAACATGATGTTATCTATCGTCGACTGGTTCAAGTTAGCCCGAAGCGGTGAAAGCACGAACTTGATCTGAGAAGGTTCGCTTTACGCTGACTTGCGTACCCGGCGTTGCCAGAGCAACCCGGCATAAAAATTATGAAGTTGCCGTTCGAGAAGTACAAGAAGACATTCACAATATTTTTCAGTGGTACTGTAGAAATTAGATTATCGTAAATACTTCAAAAACTCAAATAATGTGCTTTAGAGATCCCAGAAAAATACTATTAACTGAATTACCCATTAAAATGCACAATAAAAATTGTAATAACTGTTCATGCCTACCAATTGAGTATGTAAAAAATGTAAAATACCTTGAAATTCATATAGACCAACATCTTAAGTGGGACTCACACATAGAGCAAGTTTGCAAAAAATTAAGGACACTGATGGCCTATATGTTTCACATTCAAGATATGGTCCCCCATTCTGTACTTAAAATGATTTATAACTCGTTAGGAAAATCTGTAATTCAATATGGAATAACTGTTTATGGGCACTGTGCCAAATACCTACAAAGAAAAGTTGAAACTCTCCAAAAACAGATATTCAGAAGAATCGGTTGCCAAATCAAAAAGAGAAGCGATTTAATAGATGAGATACATAGAGAAATAGGCGTATTTTATTTTAGTGATCAATTGAAATATGACATAATCACAAAATTCTTTTTAATCAACAACCACAAAATATAAATTGTTAAAGAAAGAACATTACGACCAAATAGGAAATATTTTGAGCCATTAATAAAAAATTAACGCGGGTGGTATTTATACAGTGCTACTGTATAAATACCACTCGCGTTCATCTGTAAAAGTTCTTCCTGACGAAGGCCGGACTCCGGCCGAAACGTCGAAAATTAAATCGCCCGTTGTTGCTGCTTTCACTAAGGGTTTTTTCTTCTCAGTTTTATATATATATATATATATATATATATATATATATATATATATATATATATATATATATATATATATATATATATATATATATATATATATATATCAGTGTGTCGAACCGAAAAAAATACGGGTTCGGTTACGGTTCAGGTTCAGGTAAATTTATTTTGTGCCGGTTCAGTTCCGGTTCGATTAATTGGATCGCGAACCGGTTCGCGAACCGGTTCGGAAATTATAAATGACGAATTGCAACATCAAAATAAATTACAAATAAAACATCTGCAATCAGCACTTACGAAACGGGATACATCGTAGTGTAAGGCTCAGGGATTTCTACCAGGAATGGTTTATGTGCACTCAAAGGTTACCTCACCGACGTTTACGCATTCGGACTTCATCTAATTGGGTCGGACGCAGTAGCTGTAAAATCCGCGACCTCCTTACAAACCCACTTACAAGTAGAACTCGCTAACTATCCCGCCACCTCGGCGTGTAAGCAATTGAAGGAACAGTGGGGAGAAAATACAGCTTTCTTTATTTGAACTAGCCTTCGGTAACTCAAATTAGACCCTTAAAGAAGTTTTCATTAAACAAGATACGGAATATGAAAAACACTTCACCGAACGCAACGCCAGAAGGACGTAATAGTATAAATATTAAAATAAAAGAGTTCGCTGTCTCACAAATATGTTAGCTTCTAAGTGCCTATACGAAACCGGATGCATTATTATCAAACTCCACAGCCTTTTCTTTTCTCATTCCGATGGAAGCAAGCTTCAAGAACTCGCGCGTTCTAGAAACGTGTTATGAAATGAGCACACAGCAGCATTTAGGATTTACGAGATTGTAAAAAAATGAAATCCCGTGACGCAATTTTTTTTTTTTTTTTTTGCACAGCCTTTTAATTCTCTTTCTTCCATGCAAGCCGCGACCAGCGCAATACTGGTTCCTATGTCAAGATTCATGAATGCAGCGTTTGTCAAGATTCATGGATGCAGCGTTTATATTCCTAAGACTGAGTGGAGAAGAAAAATATGTAAGCGAGGTGTGTGTCAGTTGACGGCACTTAAAACACAAATGGCATTGATAGCACATTCATTGTCAACAGCGCGTGGCCGAACCGTTTTGACATGAGCCGGTAACCGTTATTTTTTTTCCGGTTCCGTTCCGGTTGGGGTTCATCGCGATAACAATATAACGGTTCGGGTTCGGGTTCAGTTCCGGAAAAAATACCGGTTCGGTTCCGGTTTTTGGTTCGGTTCGGTTCCTGTTCGACACCCTGATATATATATATATATATATTGTGACCCACCCATCGTCCCGTGCAGCCATCACCCTCATTATCGTCATCACCACCATCGCCGATAGCTCGCGCTGCACGCTCGGGGCAGCGCGGGTCAGCTCGTACGTAAACATAGTTGAAACCGGTCGTCAAGCCTCTGTCTCCCTCACATTATTGGTGGAGGTGGCCAGATCCCCGTAGCGGCGTTCCTATCACTCCGGAGCTTTGTCCCAGAAGGCGACCAGCAACGATGACCAGCACTGGCCAATCCTCCTCCGGTGCCCCTGCAGCTGCCGTCAGTCCTGCCCCCAGCCAGCTTCGGACATCCCGAAAGCTTCGCGGGACTCCGCGAAGACGACGTAGAGGACTGGCTGGACGTCTATGAGCGGGTGAGCCTTTACAACAAGTGCGACGACCAAGCAAAGCTGCGCAACGCTATTTTTTATCTCTCCGATGTGGAGAAAATATGCTTCACGAACCACGAAGCAATTCAAAACTCAGCTGGCGGAAATGTTCGGAAAACCCACCAACCATAAAGCTATAGCTGAGCGTAAATTGGCAGCCAGGATCCAGACATCTGGCGAGACGTACACTTCTTATAGTGAAGACGTTCTTTCACTTTGCCGCCGATACGACAAAGAGATGTCCGAGGCCCACCGAGTCCGCCATGTTATGAAAGGCCTGAAGAGGCATTTAATGTCCTTCTCGTGCGAAACCCGACGACAGTGAAGGACATCACTGCGCACTGTCAGCGGCTAGATGAGGCCCGGAATTCCCGCCTTCAAGTCCGAGCTCTGCATGACAGCTCGTCAATTGCACTGCATTCTGTATCCACTGACTCTCTCAAGCAGATAATACAAAATATTGTACGAGATGAGCTTACCCGTTTTCTCCGACCAACTACAAGCAACTCCACGCCTGAGACCGACGACACCGGGTTGCGACGCATTATTAAACAGGAGCTTGCTTCCGTAGTTCCACCAACAGCGACTCCCTTTTCCATCACGGACAGAGTCTGTTCTTCCGATGAAACTCTTCGTTCGGGATTTCCTCAAATGACCTCGGATACTCCTGCTCTGGCTGCCATCTCTCCTGCCTTCACTGGGGGTTCTTTACCCGCCTGGCGCAGTCGCCCCGCTTATGTTAACAACGCATCTTGGGGATATCGACAGAGGCCAGTCTGCTATTAGTGTGGAATTACCGGCCACGTCGCACGAGTTTGCTGGGGACTACAACAAGACCACGCAACCCGCGACTACTACTACTACAACTGAGACCGAAGCCACCGAGAGTTCAGGAGTCAGCCGCGCGATCGATCCTCCCCCCCCCCCCCCCCCCGGACCCTTATCCAGCACGTCGTCCACAGGCTCCTCGCCGCCGCTCCCCGTCTCCCTATCCTCGATCCTACTCGCCCATGGTCTCAACGAGAGACGCGAGGCCTAACACGGGAAACTAGGCACCGCAGTTGTCGGAGGAGCAACTGCGTCACAAAAAGGTCTTCCTCATCCTCCTTCCGACCCATCTAACCTCATTGAAGTATACATCGACGGCTTACTTCTGTACGCCTTGGTTGACAGAGGAGCGGCTACTTCTGTGATTAGAGAGGACATCTGCATCCGTCTTCATAAAGTAAGAACATGCCTCCATGGTTGTTCATTGCGGGCAGCATCCACAGACATTACTCATCCAACAGCCCAGTGCACGGCACGTGTTTTTATACAGGGTACGTGCCACACCATTCAATTCGTTGTTTTATTATCTTGTACGCAACGATCTCATTCTCGGCTGGGATTTTCTTAACTCTGCGGAAGCTGTCATTACCTGCAAAGGGATCGTTTTGGGAAATTCAAATAGCTGCGAATCTCACTCCAGTATTCCTAAAACCAAATTACGTGCCCGTGAAGACACTGTTATTCAACCGCTTGCATCTCTTGTCACGAATTTCTCGAGTGAACCAAGCGTTTCAGGCACTTTT